GTTTGCATTCATTAACTCATTCAAAAAATATTTCTGGTATGTCTCATATACCAGCTGCTACACATAAGCTGGGCAAATAAAAGTGAGCAAAACACACAAGAATAAGCAATTTCATTTAATTTGTGTTTCTGTTTGGGGCTGCAGATAATTAACATAATAAATAAATAAGTAAATAAATTGTATCTGTGCATTGAAAAAGGAAGAGGACCTCTACAGAGGAACATGTGTATCAGGTACAAGGAAGCATATAGGTCATTGCGGATACACTTTTTATGATTGTGTAACTGAAAAGCTGCTAGAATTCATAATATAGAGAGCTATAATATAATAGTAGTACTCAAGTTTATTCATATATATTTAATATCACTTACTGGTGAGACATTGTTTGACTTTTTTTTTCAGTTGAAGAGTTTATTAGGGAAATATGAGAGGCACAGATAGACCAAGTAACAGAAAGAAAACTCTGCAAATGTCCCTTCAAGCCAAGGGGGGACTGGCCTGGGCCTCTCCAAAATAAAGTGGAAGGTCAGCAACTTTCTCTGGCAGCCACAGAATAGGTCTGAGCGGCTTGGCCAGGATGCCGACACCACACTTCACCCTCACTGAGGCTGGGAGCAGACAAAGGCAGTGATGGGAGCTTATGGAAAGTCTGAGAGTGGGACGGGCGCCTTCCCAGAGGCTGGGCTCTGGGCTCTGGACACCTGAGATACACTGCGTGACTCCATGCCCTCCTGGAAGGTAAATGCCTGAGCTGTTTCCTGGAGACCCCTGGATGTCTCCCTGCGCCACGCCACACCACACTCTCAGGTGTACATGGCAGAGCGCAAAACCTGGACATCTGGAGAAAGAAGAGGGTAGGGAGATGACTCAGTGGAATAAGCCCTTCACTGGCAAGCTCAAGGGCCTGAGTTCAATCCCTGGTTCCACAAAAAAAAAAAAAAAAAAAAAAAAAAGAAAGAACAAACAAGAATAAGCCCTGTTGCTCTTGAAGGAGAGGAGGAGGAGCTGGGTTGCTGGGCCTTCTCCTTGTGGCCTGTGTTCTGTAAAGCGCATCCCAGCAGCTGGTGGTGCAGCTCTAGGGGAGAGTTTCACCTTTTGTCACCTGTGCTTCAGTGTACTCTGTCCTCCACTCCAGTGCTGTCAGCTTCTCGTTCAGGGTTGCGAGTCCTGAACAGCAGGTCATATCGAACGAGTTGAGAAAGTTTAATTTTCTGGATGCTGCTGGTGATGAGCTCAGTGCATTCCTGGTTTGCCCAGTCCTGGTGAATCTCCTGCTGCACAGGACCCTCTTGTACAGCCATGGCGGCCACCTGAAAAGGAGTCTACATTTGACATCCTTATATTAAAAATTAATTTAATTTCCAAGGCAATTCTGTGAGGTGGAGTTTGTTCCTTCACCTACATATATGAGAAAACATATACCTGTGATAGATATATCATAGATTTAAAAAGTTATGAGAAAACATATACCTGTGATAGATATATCATAGATTTAAAAAGTTGCTCTACTGGATGAAGGAGGAAAGTTATAGAATCAGAATTAAGTCCAGATGTCTGATTTCCAATTCCTCTCTCATTACACTACACACTGCTGTATCTAACTCTCCCTCTACTTTATTATAGCGCTCTATCCTTTCTTTATCTAAGGTGGTTAAGAGATTTCAGATTTTGAAGTCCTTCCCATGAAAATAATGTGCACAGCTTTCATGTGGCCTGGCAGAGTGAGCTCAGAGGAGGTGATCTGCCAGTCTCAGGTAGAGAAGCAAGTGACTCAGAAGTCCACATCTGAGTGTCCAGGAATGCTCATTCCTTTCCAAACTCTGGTCAGCACGGTTGTAAGTCTCAAGTTAGTTGTCATAGTGGTGGGCCAGTGAGTGAATATATTTTCCTACTAACATTGTATCTTTGAAACTGCAAGAGTAATCAGGAGCTCTGATTTTCAAAACTGCTGCTTTTCACATTTAGTAATCTCATATTTGCTCACGCGGTTGACATAATTGTCCACATAGTTTCTAGTTCACTTAGGCAGTGTGCGCACCTGTTGTCCAACTGGCTAAAACTGTGCTTGCCCTTTGGTATTGGGCCATTTTGCTGATCCAGCGTGTTATAAATATTACAAGGACAGGAGCAGTTTGTATTACGGTGTAATACAACATCAGTTAATATGAACTAGCTCATTTCCTGTTCTTTATATTACAGATGTAAACTGTAAGGGTTCCTATGTAAGGTAATTATACTTTGCTTAGAGTATACTATACAAAATACGTACTGCCATAAATTACTTTGCTCCCACTTAAATTGACCCTAGCTGGGAGAAAAGGAGAGGTGATATCTTGCAATATAAAAATTAAAGTAAGTTATTTAAAACACATTGTCCTCATGTGAAACCCCTACTATACTTGAGCCAGCTGTAATAGAGAGAGGCATCTTATGATTATGAAAGAAAATAATGTGGTAAGAGAATTCTGGATCTCGTGTGTTCCATCTGAGTGGCACTGCTGTATTTGGCAGCTTCTGTCTTCCCTTTCACCTAGAGGCCTGTTGGCTTCCCTCAGCCTCTTCTGTTCCTTCTGACCCTTCTGTGGAAACTGAACCAGAGTCCAGTTTTGAACACCTCTTACAAGTTTATCATTATAACACGACACTTGCTAGGGAATCATGTTCCAATTTTCAGGTAAATTCTTGGATGTAAATACTTTCATCATCAACACAACATAACAGTCCTTAATAAGGGAAAATAGATAAGGGTGTCTTTCTGAAGCACCCTGTACAGAAGATAATTTGCTAGTGTCTGTGCCTTTCATCACCCAGCTCGTGTGTTCAGGCTGGTCTTTAACTCAGGAAGCTCTTCTGACTTATTTTTCATTACCATATATTATTATTATTATTATTAGTAGTAGTAGTAGTAGTAGTAGTATTTTAGAAGGTGCCCAGTATTCTCTACGAGGTATGCATGACTTTAAACACTTGGTGATTATCAACTTTGATTTACCAGCACTTTCAGGTGAAAAGTAGTATGCAGGTCCATAAAATAAAGCTGGTGAAGATGAGTGTTTCAAATCTGGCAGTTTGGCTTTAAAGGTGCTACTTTTTGCACTTCATTAAGCTTGGGTT